AATCTCCAGCACCATTAAACAAATCTAGTGCTGGAACATAAGGAGACAACCTCTGAGCTTTAGAAAAAACAAAAGGCAACAAATTTTTTTGTTTTAATTGAGAGCACATTAATTTTGACATTGTAGAAGAATACAGGGTGTCTCTAAGAAAGCAAAACAGAAAAGAATGTTTCTTTTTAATAAAGTGTTAAATATATCCAAGTGATGTTGTATTACACAGCTGGGCTTCTCTGCCATGTCAAAGGTGTTTGTTCACCAGTAAAATAAAGGTGTGACAAGCAGCTCCTGAGAACCTTCATCTTCTGTGTCACACAGAGCAAAGTAAGCTGAGGTCAGGCTCTGCCACTGTCAGGGGTGAGCAGAGGAGCCCAGGAGCTGATGCACAGCATGTCATCATCTCTGCTCTGGCCTTGGTCAGCCCAACAAAAATGTGTATTTTTTGGATGGAATATGCAAAAGGAAGAGATTGATCTCAGTTTGGGAATTGACAGTATCAGCTTTGGCATTTTGGAGCTGACCAACACTATAAATAATTCAGATGAAATCTTCTATTCAAATAAAAAACCCAAACTTGTTTAGTTCTTTATGTTTCCAAATATAAAGGCCCAGATGAAAAGTTGTACATTGTGAAATGTCCCATGTTTTTTCCACAGGAGAACTTTTTACCTTATTTTAGTTTCTATCATAAACCAAGGAAAATGGTTATGTAAAACTGCTGTGTTTTGTGGGTGGATTTTCCTTTCAGTGTCATTCAAAGTAGCCCTTAAAACATGGGCACAAGAATCATAGTTTAGGAGGTGAAGGAACAATGCAGCATGTTGGAAGACAATGCCAGACCTTTTCTTCCAGTGTTATGTGGATATTCCAACTTATTATGAGGTCAATTCCCTTGAAAACTCCTCTATATGGATTTGTATTCCTGTTATGTTCTTCCCACCACCCCTGGCTCAAATTTAACTGTACACAGGAGGAGCTTGGCAGATGTTTTTTGCAGTTTTTTTACACTTAGGAAGTCTGTCTACTGTTAGATTTCCTTTCTGCCACTTGCTCCAGCAATCCTGAGAGCTGGTAAAACACTGCTTTTCCAAGGGAAGAATTGCATTCCACTGAACAAAGTGCCTTGTTTGTGCAGGATTAGAAGGTGCCAGGAGATGACAGGCATTTATCAACAATGGCAAATAACCGGTGGCCAGTGCTAGGAATGTGCATAAATGCCCTTTCCTTCACCTAGTGCATCTTCAGGGGAAATCCAGCACCTGCCTTTTCGTGGGAACAGCCGAGTTCAGAGTGAAGAAATCATCAGTACAGAGATACATTCACATTTTCCCCCAACATCAAAATATTTAAATATCACTGTATTTAGCAACTGTTTTCCAAAACAGGCTTGTGTCTTTATATAAATATGACTTTTCTGGGTCCTGTAAACTTACTAATACACAAGTAAGGCAGATTGTAGTAGAAACTGTAGATGATAGTGAACTCAGTGGACTGACTCCTGTTACCCTTCTGAAAACCTCTCTCTTCTCTACTCCTCTCTTCTTCCAGAGGATGAACAAAGAGAGAAATCTGTCTCCCACCACACTGTTCAGCAGCTCATAGTGGAGAAGGAGCAAGCTCTGGCCGATCTGAACTCAGTGGAGAAATCCCTGGCCGATCTTTTCAGGAGATATGAGAAGATGAAGGAAGTCCTGGAAGGGTTTCGGAAGGTGAGTCACCTTAACATCTCCTTTAAAGAGCAGGGCTGAACAGATTCTGTGGACCAGAATGTGCTGTGCTGCTGAACAGAAGGTAGGACTTGTGTTTCCAGCTAATTCTGATGTTCTGCATGACAAACCTTAGTCCTCAGGTGAAGGATTGCAGCCAGCTATCAAATGCAAACAGAAAAATTGTAAATCTCTTTGCATTGTGCAATATTCTCTTTCAGGGGGTGTCATTGTTGGACTGCAGCCCTTCAAACAGCTGTGTGTGACTCCCACAAACAGGTGCCTGTCCTGCATTTTAACCTCTTGGATTAAATTTGATGTCATCTTCTCTTTTAAGAATGAAGAAGTGTTGAAGAAGTGCGCGCAGGAATATTTGTCACGAGTGAAGAAGGAGGAGCAGAGGTATCAGGCACTCAAAATACATGCTGAGGAAAAACTGGACAGGTAATTGAGTCATGGATTCACAGAATGATTTGGGTTGGAAGGGATCTTAAAACCATCTTGTTCCACTCCCTGCCATGGGCAGGGACACCTTCCACTGGACCAGGTTGCTCCAAGCCCTGTCCAGCCTGGCCTTGGACACTTCCAGGGCTGGTGCATGGGTTGTACACATTTTTTCAGGAGTTCATGCTGCAGAAGGCTTCCCATGGTTGGACCTCACATCCTAAACTGATCCTGCAATATGCAAAGCACAGGCTGCTCTGTGATGGAGGTTGGAAAGAATTGCAATAATGAGAATTTCTGCAACGTGCTGGTGTTTCTTCCAGCTCCTGACCATACAGAACACCTTAAATTTCTATATTTAGCTAATATCTTTATGTTTGCTTAATGTACTTTCATGGGAGAATCAAGAAAGAAGCCATTAGCCAGTTTCTTTTTTGTGATCTCCACGTAATGAGCAGTTAAGCCTTTCTAGGGATCATGTTCAGGACTCACAGTACAGTCCCCTGAACTGGAGATCAGGTTTGGAAACTGCCATAAAACACTTCTACCTGAGTCATATTTGTGGCTCCAGCAGAGGTATCTGAGAGAAGCACAAAGGGAACAACACAGACAGTAAGAAAAGACTCTGCAGCCCCTGCTGAGCAAGAGAGGGAGTTGTGAAAAGTGTTCGGGGACAAGTCCCACAACATACCCAAGATGTGAAGAAGGCAGCCCTGCCCTCTCCCTCCATTTTTTAAAGTGCTGTCCACCCTGGAGCACCCTCTGCCCTTTCCTGTGGAGAACCTGATGTGACCAAACCCTGTGTTTTTTGCAGAGCCAATGCTGAAATTGCACAAGTGAGAGGCAAAGCCCAGCAGGAGCAGGCAGCGTACCAGGCCAGCCTTCGGAAGGAGCAGCTTAAAGTGGATGCCTTGGAGAGAACACTGGAACAAAAGGTAAGTAAATCAGGAGCCAAGCTCTGCCTGAGGATTATCCTGCAGCTCACTGGCCTTGGGGACGGCAGCACTCCCCAAATTTTAAGGCAAAACCCCCTGTGTGCACCAGCTGGACCCAGGTTTGATCTGAGCCCAAGGGTTTGGGGCTGGCTCAGCCTTGGGCAGAGCTCGGGGTGCACCTCTGCAGCCCAGGCCTTGGTTTGCTTCAGTTCTCAGGTTTTTCTCTCAGGTCCTGTTTCCCTTTTTAGTGCTAGCAGTAATTCCAATGCTAATTCCAAAATGTCTGTAGGAAATGCCTATTTATATCTCTGTGTTCTCGTGCTCAGCCAAGGGAGCTTGCTTTGGCATAGAACAGCTCGTCCTTGCTTGCAGCTCTGCAAGGCAGGGTGAAAAATAATGAAAAAAAAGTGAAAAGTGCAGCCTAGAAACAAATTTCCACTCTGTATTATTGTGGAGTGTTGGGAATGACTGCTATGAAGCTGTCTGCTTTGGTGCTAAATTTGATTTATTTAAACTGGAGGAGCTGTATCTGGAAGAAAGGAAGCATTTGTTTGAGTGCATGTAGCTGTACTATGAATATGAACACTTAGTTTTTCTATATATGCACATATATCTATATGTATAGATCTCCTGTTCTCAGCATTGGAGAAAATTTAATTTTCCCACACCTCTCCTACTAGTTAAATAATATTAAAATTTTAAAAAACCCTCATGTTAATGCAACAATCCTCTTCATAATACTTCTTATTTTATTTTTCAGAATAAAGAAATAGAAGAATTAACAAAGATTTGTGATGAACTGATTGCCAAAATGGGGAAAAGCTAACTTTGAACCAAATTTCTGGACTTCAATATTGAGTGCAATATGACCATTGGCACACTGATGTCCATACATTTATGTGGACAGGTTATATTTTCACTTTTTCGTATGCACTACTGTATTTTCTTTCTAAATAAAGTTGATTTAATTGTATGCAGTACTAAGATGACTATCAGAATTTCTTGCTATTGTTTGCATTTTCATAGTATAATTCATAGCAAGTTGATCTCAAAGTTCCTGTATCAGGGAGATTGTCAAGTTCTCTAAGAAAATACAAATTGCTGATCCTAGCCTTCCCTTTGTACATGAGTTCCCATGTTGGATGTCTTTTGGATTTAATATAAACATGTATTACTTGCATGGGGACTCTTGCCTTAAGGAATGTAAACTTTATCTGCATTTGCTGATTTGTAAAATAAAATCTAAAAAAAAAGAAAAAAAAAAGTAAAATGCATGTCACAAATTAAATTCTCTATTGTAAATAAATTTTTTCGTTGAAAGTTGAAGATAAGTATGGCTCTCTTTTGTGTCCTTCACTGGCTTATTTCAGCACCAGATGCTCTTGGGAATTAATTCCTCCACAGAGCACTTCATGGGTCACTGCTTGGAACACTTTGTGGGTCACAAGAGTCTGCTGCTTATGTGCACATATCTAGGTCTATATCTTAATGTCTCTCTAAATATATATATGTGTGTCTATGTGTTGGATTTGGACCACTCAAGTCTCAAGCATAGGCTTAATCCTCCAAAATATTTAATGCTCTGACCCTGATCCAGCAAATCCCATGGGCAAATGTAATGAGGCTGTTGGAGGAGTCAGAGGCTGAGGCATGTGGTGACAGGATGGTTTTTAAGCATGTCTGGCACTGAAAGGTGAATAATTTCCTGCTCCTGGAAGAATTTGCCTGCAGGGCTGGTGGAGATGAGGTTGGTGTGATCAGAGGTGCAGCCAGAATAAGCTGCATAAGTAGCACTCTTGAACACCTCTTTATCCTGTAAGTTATCCTCTGCACAGGATTAGGGATGGAGGAGAAGCATTAAGGCTCTAATAGCAAACAAACTGCTTTCTTTGCCTAATGGTGCATCTCTTGGATCTCCATGATGTGGACAGTCTTCAGCCTGGTTCTTATCAGCTCCCTTTTTGTCCTCAAAAGTAAGTCAGCTCCTTTTTCTTTCCTTTTTTTACTTCATTTGCATTTCCTACCTCAGGCATGGCTGAGCCTCTTTGCTGTTCTGGGCTCCTCTGCTGGGTTGGGTTGGTTTTAGGTCATTCTGTGTGTGTGGTTAGCAGCACAGAGCTGCACCTCTGTAAAGTTAAATGTGTGTCCTAACAGATTCAAATGTCCCCTCTGATAGCAAGGGTGGGATTTCTGCTCTGCAAGCTTCAGGTGTGGTGTTTGAAATGTCTTTCAAATCCACCCTTGCCTTCCTTTGAAAATGCCGTGTAGTTTGTGGCAAGGAAAAGAAAGAGGGTTGAGGTATGGTTGTGGTGTTTAAACAAGAGCAAAACTCAAGATCCACTGTTGTGCTTTCCAGCTGAATTGATGCTTCAGGAGAAGAGGAAAATTGGATCACTGTAAGATCTTATGTGTATACAGTGTGCTTTTTCATGGTACTGTGGACCAAAGATCATGACTGGGGGGGGAAGATCATGATGGGGGCTCTGCTCTGAAAACATTACAAGAAGATATGGATGGATGCAGTTACAGAACATCAAATGTTTCTTGTATTATTTTAATTGCAGATTATAACAACTAAATAATCTGTGGTTGATTTTTTATTATTATTTATTTTATTAGTATCTGACCCATTTTTAAAAAGGAAACATTGATAAGATTTACAGACTCTGTGGATTTTCCAAAGCTTTTTTTCATTTTTTTTCTGTGTGCTTGAAACCATACTAGAAAGATTGATACTTTAAATGCTTCTTGTAAATTCTAAGTGGTCTCTTCTCCCTCCACCCAGGTGAAGCACTGCAGTGTTACACCTGTGTAGGCTCTAGTGATGACGACTGCAACAGACAAGGAAGTCAGCAGTGCCCAGGCCTTGCAGATGCCTGTGCAGTCATTAGAGGACAAGCAAGTAAGTGTCACAAATGTGTCAGACTTACTGCATTTGTCATAAAAGAGAGAAATAATCAGTGTTGGAAAGAGAAGAGTGCGTAGTAAGTTAAGGACAAAACCAAAAGTAAATGTCTCCTCTCAAAATAAACCCCATTAATAAATCTCAGTCCTAGTTTTGTTGGCACAAAATCCCACTGGGAGTGATTTGTTGGTGGGCCACAATGAGCTGCACTCACTCTGTGGGAAAGCAGGAAAGAAGCATTTTAAGCATTGCCCACTTTTTGCTTAAGTGACTTAGCTGGAAATTAGGATGGAAGAGAAGCTAACGAGCCCCTGCACTTGGGCACATCCGAAGGTATTTAATCTGCACCAGTTGCCTCCAAGATGAAAAATCAGAGTTATTTAAGTGGGAGCTGTTGGTGTGCTGCCTTGTTGTGGCTGTACTCATTTTCTTGTGAGGAGCAGCCAAAGCCGAGGTTGTTGCTCAGTGCTGGGTGGTCAGGCTGGTGCTGGGGGTGCAGGTGGGAGCATGTGGCCATTTGCAGCCCTTCTGGGCTCACTTCACCGAATGTTATTGTTAGGTTGGACGTGACATATACACATGTGATTAGGGCTTAAGAAGAAAAAAGTTTTTATTTTTAGTTTAGTGTGTTTTTTAGTTTATATGCTCTTAACAAAGTGTGATTTAAAGTTATTAACTACATTATATTATATATTATAGTTACGTATTTTTTAAATTTGTTGTTATGCTGATGTCTGTCTTTTTCTTTGCTGTGGATATATTTGAAAATCATTAATTGTTATTTTTTTAATTAATTTAGTTTTGCTTGTAGGCTAGCTGTTAAGCTTTTTTTATATTTCTTTTTTTTTGTATTTGAGTGACAAACACCGTTGACAAGGATTTTTGCAGGGCTTGGTGCAAAAATCCAACCAGATAAGGCAGACACAGAGTAACAACTATAATTATTAATAAAATTAATAGTTTATTAATTGCTGGCTCCGTTCCAGGTGGCATCATGAAGTCCTGCTCGTTCAGGTCCTTCTGCGAGCGGGCGAGGCGCGAGGGATCGCGGGCGCCGGGGGTGAGCGTCCACTGCTGCTACTCCAACAACTGCAACGCCAGGAGCCCGGCTCCCAGGGTCACCAGCTCCAGCAGCTGCTTCTCCCTCCTCATCCTCACTCTGCTCTGGCACCCCTTGTTGAAGCTGACATGAGGGGGAAAAAGAAGAAGAAGAAAAAAAAAAAGAGTCTCCTGAAGCAACAACTCTGCCTTCTTAGCAAGGGATGATAATATTTCCTAATCACGTTGCTCCATGTACCATTTATCTCACTAGGCAAAAAAGCTGTAGGAAGACCTGACAGATGTTTAGATAAAAATTGTTTCATCTGCTAAATAGGTCTTGATCTCTGTGTAAGAAACGCTGCCCTGTTGCTTATCCTGAGGGATTGGTTGTGTGAATACACCGCATTTTCCTGCAATTTGGATAAGGAGAAATCTTTGCTGCAGGTAACCTGGTAGTAAGGTAAAGGGCAAATGTCTGCCAAATGCTTTTTACTGTTGGCAGATATTCAAAAGCAAGCTAAAATTTTTGAGCACAAAGTGACTGATGATTCTAGCAAGCAAGTTAATCTTTCAGAGCTTATTGGTGTACTGGACAAAAGAAAACTTGAAATACAGATGATTTAGTATTAACACAAACTGGTAAGAGAAGGTCATTAAGAGAATAATGCATGGATATTCTGTTGTATATATGTTCCTGGCAGGGGGGCTGGATGGTCTTTAAGGTCCCTTCCAACCCAAACCATTCAATGGTTCTATGCTTGTGTGTATTTCCTTGGGAAAAAACACCTTCCAGTCTTCTCTTTTCTGATCCTTTGAGAATTTTACCACAGCATCAGAAGAAGAAGAAAAAAGGAGAGTTTGGAAGTTGTTTTTGAACTGGTACTCCATCCAAAGATTAGTTCAATCTATCTCCCCTGCTGGTTTTAAAAACAAGTGATTAATCCCTGTCTTGTAGGCAAATTATAACTTGAGTTTATAATTCTTGAGGTTTCAGTTATGTAAATAATTCTCTACTGCCCTAAACTGCACTCTTTGAGAGTAAGAGTGTATATATCTATACAGGTCTGCCCTTGAGTGATGTGATGGAGTTGAGGTGGTTTATGCATTCTTTTCATTTTGCAAAGTGAATGAAATTACTTGGAGGTCTTTAGAGGTGTAAAGAGGGACTAAATCAATATTTTTAATAAACCCATTCATTGTAGTTTTACCAAGTAAATGATCCAGAAGGGGTCACACAGTAAAAGGCACTGTGCATCACTACCTCCTTTGATCCAAAACTCAGAGCACCAGGCAAGCAGATGAGGGGAATTTGTAGATTTTAATGTCCAGCTGTGATAATCTGGTCCAACCCCTGGCACACAACATGCACAGGATTGCCTGAAAGTCCAGCTGGTGTAACTGAAGTAGAGGTGGACTTTCCAGTTCTAGTTTTAGTTGCCTAGTAGGAAAAAGTTTAGATATCAAATTTATGGAACTCACAAAATATATGGCAAAGTAGTTTTTCCCCTAGCTTTGTGTTGTGACTTTTTTTTTCAGTATAATTCTTTGAAAAATCAGTTCTGGGCAGTGTGTAGTAGAATTCTTCACATTGACCAACATTTTATTCAGGTTGCAAACCCTAGAGCTGCTGCAAGGTCAATGAGTGAGCCCTCCCTGCAGAGTGTGACCCTTGTAGCTGTCACAGGGGCCGAGCTGTCTCCTTGTTTTACTGTGCTCTTTCCCCAGTGTGGATCCTTCCATCATCTCATGTAGGTTGTGGCTTCAGACTGACTGGATTCTCCTGGAGTTTTGTTCAGGTGGGCTCAGACAAGGCAGTGTGGTCTGTTTTTAGTCTCTAGGCACCACTCTGATAAAGCTGTTGAATATAAAGATTGCAACAATGCAGCAGATCTTGGCTGAGAATGGTAATTTGGACTCCAGTGTCTCATCTGTATAAAAATCACTTAAATCGGTATATTTTTCATTTCATTCTCAGCTTGAAGCAGTTCCTTCAATCTCTTCTGCTACAGGAAGCAGGTATTGATTGTATCTTTATCTTCGTATGGTTCTGTAATGATAAATCTGCATTGAATGTAATCTCTGTATGTGCTCAGTGCATTTCCTTAATGAGAAAATAAATTACATGCAATGGCTGACATTGTCTCTTGGTGAACACAACTGCTTCTTTTAATTGGGATTTCCAGCTGCATCTGGTGCTCTATTTTCCTGCAGGAATCCTGTTGGGATTTGTTGTTTTGTTGGTTTGTTTTTTTGTTTTTTTTTAATGTGGGATATATTTCTTAAATCTATTGGATAAAATAGTATTTGTTGTTTTGTTGGTTTGTTTTTTTGTTTGTTTTTTTTTTTAAATGTGGGATATATTTCTTAAATCTGTTGGATAAAATAGTGGATGTTGGTAGCGTTCTTGCTGCTGTATTTCCATGGTAAAATAAGAAGGTAAATCTCTATCCTCTTGACAAACACCATCTGTCATTCCTGACGGCAGCCAGGACTGGGATCTTCAGGCAGCTCCCGCCGCCTCCATCCAGTCCTGGCTCCCAGCTCATCACAGGCCCTGCTTTGCTTTTTACAGCAAAAAAAAAGACATTTTCGCTGCCCAGTTATGACCCTAAAGTGTGCCTGCATGTGGATATCTAGGAGGGATGAACCACTTTTGTGGATTGGTGTTTTCAGAGCGGTTTCATGATGGTTCTTGGCATAAGCGTTGACAGGAAAACAAGCACGGAGAAACAAAAACAAAATAGAAGGAATATTTTTTAAACTGGAATATTTTTTAAACTCCGTTGAAATGCAGAAAATATTTTAATGGTTTTGTTGCCATGTCTGTGCAGAGCTATTCCCAGTCACAGGTGCAATAGGAAGTTGGTTGTTCTGAGGTTAATTCCTGCTGCAGCCACAGGCTCCTTCTCCTTTAATGTCAGCAGCAGAGAGGCTGATGCTGGAATGCTTTCTGCTGCAACTCAGAATGACAGGACTTCTTTTTCATCTCTTATATCAGCTGGATTTATATAATGGGTAAGTGCTGGGTCTGAGTGTAACTCTGCCCTCTCACCTCCAGGAAGGATCTCCAAAAAGATTCATTTCTAAATGAGAGAAAATCTCAGTTGTACCTATAGCCCCAAATCATAACTTCCATTATTCCTTTCTATCCTCTTGGTTTTGGCTGTACAAACAGAGCCTTTATTTTATTCTCCTTTAAAATAAAGGACAAAAGGATAAAAAGCTTTTATCCTTTATTTTCCTGGTCTTGTCAAGGGCAGCCAGAGCCTCTGGGACTTCTCAGGAGGGCACAGCCGAGCAGAGTGCCTTGAGCTCTCTGTAAGAGTGAGAATTTGCCATTTAATTTGTGTCAGTGTTCATCCACACCTGGCTTTTCCACAGTGAGTACAAGGTACCAAGTTGTCCCTTGTTCTTGGTGAGGAATAAGCAATTCTTGTGGCCTTGAAAATCTAGATCAGACAAGATCAGCTCAATGCTGGCTGTGCAATTTAATGAAAGTTTCAAGTACGTCTTGGTAAAATCTAGATCAGACAAGATCAGCTCAATGCTGGCTGTGCAATTTAAGGGAAGTTTCAAGTACGTCTTGGTCACAAACCACAGTTTATTTTTTAACCTTTTTTCCTCATGTGAAATTTTAGTCATGCATTTCTGTGCTGTAGGGATTAAACAAAAACCATCCTTGCAGCCTGTGTTACCATGTCTTTGTGTGCAAAGAAAGCCCAGCTGTGACAGATTTCATTGTGAGCATCACTCCGAAGGGTCTCAACCTTTCTGGACCTACAGATGTTCAGGACACAGCCCAGAGCTGCTGGCTGTGGTTGGTAACATGCCCTTGGGGAGGAGTTTCATGCTTCTGAAATCAGAATTCCTGAGTGCAATCCCTGGAGCCCAGGATAAACATACACTCCCTCTTATCACCCACAGCCAGCAGTGCAGGGAGTATTTTTAATTGGTGAATTTGTGGCATGCTCAGAGCATTTTTGGCATATTTACTCACAACAGAGTGGGGGAAAATGACAACAATGTTAATCCCATAAAGATTGTAGTGAGAAGTTCACAGTGTTGGTGGCGTAGGTACAGGTGAACATCTGAGAAAAAAACCCCACAAGTGAAAAGCAGTGTGGGATTGAGTTTGGAAAAACCACAGAAGCAGCTCGTGCTTGGCAGGGTGGCTTCATGGAAAGTAGGTCTTGTCAAAAACATCTCATTTGAGGTTAGGGGTTTTTGCTGATAAAGGCAAATACATGGGTTTTTTGCAACACATTTCGTATAAAATCACAGTGATACACAGACTGAGAGTTCAAGAGCCAGGAGAGTGAAAGACTGCAAAAACAAGGTTCTCAGTGGAAAATCTTGCAAGTGGTGTCTTGAGAGAGGCGAGCTCCCATCATCTCTGCGGCAGCCTCGGCCGGTGCCATGAGGAGTGTGACAAAAAGAAGGGGCTGTCAAAGCTCTGACATGTCTGCACGGAGATATTCCTGCATGTTGCCATAGGGATGGGTTTCCAAGGGAGACAGGTGATGCACTTTTCTGGAACAAAACTGAAGCAGAGGAATGAGAGTGGGAGGATGGGGCTGAGCATTTTATCACAGAATCACAGAAGGCTTTGGGCTGGAAGGGACCTTAAATCCCATCCAGTGCCACCCCTGCCTTGGCAGGGACACCTTCCACTGTCCCAGGCTGCTCCAAGCCCATCCTCCCTGGCCTTGGACATTACAGGGATCCAGGGATCCTTTGCCAGGGATCTTGTGCCAGGGCCTGCCCATCTTCACAGGAAACAAGTCCTTCCCAAATTCCCATATAACCCTGCCCTCTTTTTTAGCCACCACCCCTCCTTTCTTCCACTCTTAGCACTAGTAATCCCTTAAGGAGTGCACTTTTCCTTAAATTCCATCTTGTATAGCAGCCTGACTTAGCCCCACAGGCAATACTTCTCTTAAAACCCTTTTAGCTGCAAGCCCAAAAGACTTGCAAGTATGAGATAATGTTTGACAGGTGAAGAGGAATTTCTCTCTTGAAGCTGTTTCCCTTCTGTCAGGACTTCCTGCCTTTCATCCTGACCAAAATAGTTTTAATTTGTTCCTTTAAATGCTCAAGGGGAGAAGGTATTTGAACACTGGCAGAGACTCAGCCAAAAAAATGAGACTGGTGTCCAAATCACTTCACTGGAGACTGCCTTCACTGGAGACATTCAATTTGATATTTTAATGTCAGTCATTCTCAGTTTCTGATTTTCAGTGGAAAAAAATCAGTGTCTGTAGATCTGGAGCTCAGAGGAATTGGCTGCTCTCTCTTCAGCCAGGTCAGAGCCTGATTTTCCCTAATGAAACTTGATTTGTGGATTTGCTTCTGTGCTCTCCCAACCTAAAGAGACCTTTTGCAACATATCCTTGAGATCCTGAGGATGTTCATCTCCTTTTAGCAACTTTTCTTTAACCCCTTTTACAATTTTTTGGAGGGCTTTCCAATGCAAGTAAAATCTCCACAAGTGTGCAGTTATTAAATTCAAGTTCGCATCCTTATGTGTCACTGGAATGACATTTCTAATAGGAGGAAAATCTCAGAGTTTCCTCCTCACACTCTGCTGATTACCAGGGTAAGTTGTGCTCTAATTTTACTTGATGTGAGCATTTGAAGTTCCAATGGCCAGAGCTCATATAATGCAGCTCCAGAGCAAAGTTCCTGCCCCCCTGGTGCCAGGCAGGAGCTGAGTGCAGCACAGGATCCATCCAAACCACAGCTGGGGCTGCAGAGCTGGGGTCAGACACACTTTTGGAGCAATCTGCAGTCACAGAAGGGAGTGAGCACCCTGCAGTGTCCAGTGCCCTCAGTGATTCCTGAGCCTCCCTGCTGATGCATCCCTGAGAGCTGGGTGTGGGTGGGCAGAGCAGCAAGGAACGAGCTCTGCCCTCATCTTTAGTCCTTAAGTGTTAAGTTTCACTTTTTGGAGCTGTCTTTTTGCACTGTACCATGAACAGTGCTCAAGAGTACTTGGCAGTCTCCATCAGTTGTTTCCACATTCTCCCAGCCAGCTCTGACTCCTTATTTTGGATAAACACGTCTGGTTTTGTTAAATATTCTGTTTCAGTGATTAGGACCCTGGAAAGAGCAAATCAGTTACTGAGATGAAGCAAATCCACGAGTGGGGCAGTGAACTGGGCCAGGAAAAAATGTTCATGGGGAAATCATCCCAGCAGAGCCTGGGGGCACTGGCAGAGGTTTATCAGCATTCCTGAAATCAGGGCTGTGAGGAGGAGAGATCCACCAGGCTCCTTTGCATTGCTCTGTGCAGCAGCTGGAAAGGAGAGCTTTGTCCCTGGGTTGGTTTTCACTCACCCCAAGGCTTAGGACAGGAGGAGCTTCTCCTAAAATCTTCCCAACACCTTCCAAGCCTTTTTTTTTCTAAATTTAGGAGATTTTTCTCCTGACTGCCAGCACATGGATGTCTGGTGCTCTTTAAATGAGGAAAAGTTTTCAGAGTTTCATCAGTTGCTGGTGATTTCATAAATAAATACCTTCCAAGGGATAAATTAGGGATAAATTAGGGATAAGGACTGTGCCAGCCAGGAAGTTTTCCGGAGCTGGCCTCGATGGGACTCTTCTGAGGATGATGAAAGCAGGGAGGGGAAAAGAAAACCTGCTTTGACTTGACACGTCCTGTTAACATCAGAGGGAAGCAGTCCCTGGAAAACCCATCTCCTCAAAAGTCAGGCTCCCTTGTGGAAACTGAAAACAATACTTTGCTCATGAATGATCAGGAGTGGAGTGATCTCATCTGACCTTTGCTTTAATATGGCTTATCCAAAGCTTTTCATGCTTATCCAAGCCTTGGCTCCGGGCTGCACTGGGAGCCCCGGCTATTCAGGGCAAATCCTGGTGACCTCTCCTTCAGCTGCCTCTCCTCAGGAGGATGAAGAGGGGATTACTGCCCATGGATGGGTGTCCTGAGCCAGCAAATAAAGCACTGCTGCCTGTCTTGGAGCTGTTTTCTAAGCCCTGGTGTGCTGGGGGATCTGTGTGTGCCCAGTCTCACAGACCAGTTCTCCAGGAGACAGATGGCCTGTGGGCTGCACTGGTCCCAA